CTGTACAGCACTCCAATAGAGGACACTGTAAAGTAAGTCACATGGCCTGTCTAAGAAGCAAGCATTTCTAAAGCATATATTTAAATCATATTTTATTACTTTGTACATGGGCTTACCCAGTGGTTTTCCATCCAGGCATTACCCAGACAAAGACCTGCTTCACTTCAGCAGGGCTGCCACTTCATATCTTCAGACCCGTATCTCAAACAGCTATGGTACAAGGTACTTACAAGCAATGTTCCAGGGCCCATTTGGGTCATGGTCAACTTGTCATACAAAGAGAATTATGCTTTCCCTACAAAGGCTTTTCTATTCTTAACAAATGCTCCAAAAACTTCTGCTAATATAGAAAGTGGAAGTCAGATTATGAATGGAAAACACAAAGGCGAAAGCATACAACACCAGTCCAACTGCACTGCCTGCTGGTTAGTTTCCAGATGCCATTCCAAAACCTGTTTTTACCCATTAAAGCCAAATGCGGCTTGGGAGCCCAATACCTAAAAGACTGACTCATCCTATAGAAACCTGCTGGGACACTGGGTTTGTCATCTGAGGCCCTTCTCTGTGTCCCACCTCTTAAAGAAGCACAAAGAGTGGCGACCAAAGAATGAAGAAGAAGAAGAAGAGTTTGGATTTGATATCCCGCCTTTCACTCCCCTTCAGGAGTCTCAAAGCGGCTAACAATCTCCTTTCCCTTCCTCCCCCACAACAAACACTCTGTGAGGTGAGTGGGGCTGAGAGACTTCAAAGAAATGTGACTGGCCCAAGGTCACCCAGCAGCTGCATGTGGAGGAGCGGGGACGCGAACCCGGTTACCCAGATTACGTGACTACCGCTCTTAACCACTACACCACACTGGCTCTCACAGTGGACCTTCTCTGTTAAAAGCCTCCTGTCTTTGGAACTCTCTCCCAGGGAAGCATGCCTGGCACCAACCATACTATCATTTCAACACCAGGTTAAAAACATTTTTATTCTCCTGGGCATCTGGGCATGATTTTGTTACCGTTACTCTTGATATCATGCATCACTTAATATGCTTTTATTACATTTCATTGTATTATACACATTGTAAATTGCTATGAGCCTTTCTTATATATAAAGCGATAGGCAAGTCTAATAAATCATCTCAAATCATTCACAGAATCAGATGTAGGTTCAAAACATCCCTCTGCATTGGAGGGAATGGAAAAGCCCCTTGATATGGTGGCTCCATTTGCTCAGAGTGCATGTACACTAGGCTTTGGGCCAGGGACGTTGTGTGGAATTATGGCCCACCGAACCATAGAATATATTTTCTACTCTATGCTGCTGAGGATCATAGCTTACACTCGTTTCCAGGGCATAAGAATAACCCTCCGATCTAGCCTTCCTTTTCATATGTGCCTAAAAATAATTAGTAATAGATAGGGATATAATTTAAAATCTGCCTTAAGGGATACTACTTTTGACATATATTCTTGAGATACATTTTCAGAAATAATATTCTAACCACCAGGGATCGTCATATAAAACCTTTAATGTGATTAAAGTGGGCCAGCATCCATAGTCATCTAGAGCTGGTGGGGAAGAGATTATATTATTGTGGTTTTTTAAAAAAATAAAATGGGAAAAGAGGAATCTAAGACAATGCTAAGAACAGGTTTTTTCATTTATTTTAAAAAGCTGCAGAGTGCTGCTAGATCAGAAGCTACGCAAAGGATGCTTAATGTTCTAAGAATATGGGAGTTAAATTATAGGAAATGCAAAGGAAGCTACAGCAAAAGGTACACCACTCAGTTTGAAAAGGATGTGGACCTATCTGTCAGCAAGGAGATTGCTGCAGCATAGAGTGCAGACCCACCTCAAGTAGCAGTGGAGATTTTATTACTATATTCTCCCATAAACTATTTTATATGCATGGTAACACACTGCAAGGCACGCATTCATCAGCCAGCAAGCTCTCACGTTGAATACAGACACTCTTGTAAAGGGGCATTGCAAACTTGAAATAAGATTAGTTTATAAGCATTTTCAAGGTCTATGCCTTTCCATGCTGATTTGGCTAGTATTATACGGTAAATCACATTTCCCTACCTTTTCTCCGCTGGACGGTATGAAAGGTGGGGGGAAATCAATTGGTAATAAAACTAAATTTGCTGTGACTAGGGCAAAGTAAACAAGGGGGCAGGAGGCACAGAGGAGAGGAATGGATTTAAAGCAGAAGCCTATAAAAACGCTGGTTTTTGAAAAGGACCCCCAAAAAAAACCACCGCTACACCATTGTCAGCCAGAAGCAAGCCAGGACTCTCTTTAGACCAGCTTCCTTCAATTACATTGCATTATCAAACTACATAATGCCACAATAAGGAAGCATTTAGATAACAGGAATATGGGATTCTCTGGAAATTGCATGATATTACATGCGGCTCCCACAAAACCACTAAGGAATTAAAGTTTATAGCCTTGGGATTAAACAGTAAAAGTAAAAACAGAAAACAGAAAAAAACCACAGATCTGTTGCTTGGTAGCACCACCAAGAATAATGACTATACATAGCTCCTGATGATCCCAGCAAAAATCTCCTATAAGGAGCTGCCAATTAACTGCAAGAAAAGCCTTCATTGGCATCAACAGGAACTTCCTGAGATTAATGTCACATCAAGTTTGGTCCTTAGAATACTAAGTATTCAAAGTGTCTGTTGGCTCCTCACGAGGCCTGCACTATACATACACCAGAATGAGGTGAAACAGTCCTGAGACAGTGCAAAAGTCTGACAGTGTCACTTCAGACTATGGATGGGCAATCATATTTTTGAATGTCCCACCTATGTCAAAAATTGTCTGCAAATAAGAAAACGAGCTCATCTAGAAATTCACTCCCCAATGTGCCACCTTTTAGTATATAGAAGAATCATGTTTGGAATAGGACTGTGGGCCACCTGTGGAACCCACACCTCCCACATGGGGCCACCTGGGGCCCTACCTCCTATATTAGTGTTAGGTATGCACACCATTGAACCTAGGGCTTGCCGATCAGAAGGTCAGTGGTTCGAATCCCCGCGATGGGGTGAGCTCCCGTTGCTCAGTCCCAGTTCCTCCCAACCAAGCAGTTCGAAAGCACGTCAGAGTGCAATTACATAAATAGGTATCGCTCTGGCGGGAAGATAAACGGCGTTTCCGTGCACTGCTCTGGTTTCGCCAGAAGCGGCTTAGTCGTGCTGACCACATAACCTGGAAAAGCTGTCTGCGGACAAATGTCGTCTCCCTCAGCCAGTAAAGCGAGATGAGCGCCACAGCCCCAGAGTCGTTCGCGACTGGACTTAACTGTCAGGGGTCCTTTACCTTTTATGCACACCTGCAAGGGAAAGACTACTAATTCACTCTCCATATTACAACATTCGATACCCATGGAAAGTCTACATGTCAAGGAGTTCCCTTGAAGATGCCCATGCATAACACCTGTACTTTGGGAGTAGGCACATGGCCCTGCAGCCTTGTTCTGTGTATGGGTCTCCTTCACACATTGCATGTGCAGGGCTCACGTTGCATTCAAATGCAGAATCCCTTGTAATGCAGTCCCACCCTAACAGCATAGCAAACTACGATTTAGCAGAATAAGCTTATGCAGAAGAAAAGCTTGAGATTGGTCATATTCTGACAGCAACTTTGAGTGGAAAGGTGCCCCAGCACATTTGTCAATCGCACTAAAGACTGGAAAGATGGAGCAGAAAAAAGTGGGGCTGTAAAGAAACTATAGGCATGGCAGATCAGATTATGATCCATGTAATGTAAGATTTTGCAATTACTGTAAAGTTGGGCAGCCTTTTCATTAGGAATGCAAGTACAGTGGTACCTCGCAAGACGAATGCCTCGCAAGACAAAAAACTCGCTAGACGAAAGGGTTTTTTGTATTTTGAGCTGCTTCGCAAGACGATTTTCCCTATGGGCTTGCTTCGCAAGACGGAAACGTCTTGCAAGTTTGTTTCCTTTTTCTTAACACCGTTAATACAGTTGCGACTTGACTTCGAGGAGCAACTCATAGAACGCGGTGTGGTAGCCTTTTTTTGAGGTTTTTAAAGACTTTGGTGATTTTTGAAGCTTTTCCAAAACTTTCCCGACACCGTGCTTCACAAGACGAAAAAAATCGCAGACGAAACGAATTTATTTCGTCTTGCGAGGCACCACTGTAAGCTGCCTTACTCTAAACCAGACCATTGGGCCATTTATCCCAGTATTTTTTAATACAGTGGCTTTCCAGGGTTTCAGACAGTTCCTTGCCCTAGCACCATCGAACTGCTGAACTATCAGCAAAAATTACAGTTGCTGTGTACCTGGGCAGAGGAGAAGAGAGTCTACTTGCGCAAAAGTTTCCATGAAAATGTTCTTCAGAAAGAGAGTTGGAATCTTACACATGAAGAGATTTTATGGAATGAAGAGCAGTGTTGTCCTGTTTGCTGTGGCCTTCACCCTAGTTCAAAGTTGTGTAATTGCATTTTTGGAAGGTGGGATGATCCGGCAAGTGCAAGAAGGCTTTCCATCTGTCAGCAAGAAAGTGGCTTGTCCTCACGAATCTTTGCTTTCCATAGTCAACAATGTGACCCAGCCGTACACACAGTTCTCTGGATCACAGTCTGATTTTAATGAGATGATTCCGGGTAATTGGTTTGTGGGACTCCAGGCCAAGGAGGCAAAGCGAAATTCTACTTCCATAGATGCAGAAGCAGAATCCACTTACTGACCTGTCAGTCTTCAGAAATGTCAGTACTCTGCATGCTGATATACCATCAGATAAAGCTGGCACTGCTATATGATCTTTCCATTTTTAAAAGACACTCACAAATAATGAGCAGGAGATGTCCAACCATAAATATCGCAGGCAACTTTTAAAATGAAATTATTGATTAAACAACATCCATCTTCATGTTCATTTCCATTAACTGTCAGCATGGGGCTCCTGAAACATAACTTCTTGTTTCCTTAATATGATTTGGGAAAGAAAAAAATTAACACATTCACTCTCTCAAAACAATTTAATTTTGTACTCTGTATAGCTTGTAGCAAACAGCTATTAGGCGTTCTTGAGATAATGAATCACAATATGATACATGTCTGTTTACCAGGACGTTGTCAGCCCTGTCTCCTTAACATTCCTTATCATCATTCAGTTGAAAAATCCCAGCACACCAGTTTCTTAGCACTGAATGGTTAAGTGGATTCCACACTCTTTTCTGCTGCATATTCATTTCATAAATGTCACCGCACCCACTGAAGTTTCTGAGATGAAAAAAAGAGGGAGAAATGAATGGAGATGAATTGTTTAATGGGTTACTTCAACTGTCCACAATTTATAACTTCTTGTGATCCTTGCTGTGAAAAAGACTGAAATACCTGCTTGAACAGTAGTATCTTCAGCTTCTAGTACCATGGTCAGCTCCAGCTACATTCACATAAATGAAGGAAAACAGACTTAATTTTTAATTCATCATGAGGATTATATTTGGTAAAAAAAAACCTGACTTTTCACTGCATATCCCACCTTTCTACAGAATATTCAAGATGGTGTACATTAACTTTAATTGTGAACTGCCCTAGAATCCATTTTTTGTGGACAATATTTGAACGTTTTAAATAAGTATATAAACATATAAAAGAAACAACACAAAATACAACTGCACAATAACAATTGCACTCATCTAATAAAACAGATGAAAAACAGCTATAAAGGCAATTGTGCTGTAACATCAACTTAACAGCAATAAACTGGAAAAGCTGGCTGAAATTTACCTAAACCTGTTGTATCCTTCCTAGGAAGCTCATCAGCTCTATCCAACCCTGCACCCTGCCGCTCCTGTGAATGAATTCACTGGCTGTACTAATCAATCTTATCTTCACCCAGCAGAAAAAGATTATTCAGTAATGATCCATTTTGAATATTCTGCATTACTGAGAAAAACAACTGCTTGTTTTGTGATGCATTTCTTGTTTGCTTCTGTATTTAAAATCTCAAGGGCTTTTAACTCTCACCTGATGGTGTTCTTTGGAGCCAGGCTACATCTGACACTAAACTCTGATTATTGCTGTTTTCTTCTGGGAAGGTCATTCAGCATCAGGATGATGCATACAGCTCCTCTGGATTCAGGAGTCAGACTCTGGTACCTCCTGATCCCCAAACCAGAGTCAGCCTAGAGAGGTAGTCAAAGTGGTGGTCCACAGACCAGTCAGTGCCTGTCTACAAGCCACTGGCTTCCAGTCCCCAGTGACTCCACTACAGCCCATATTTGACTTTTGGAACCAAATATGGTACTGGTTCCTGGAACACTGGGGGGGAGGTGCAAGTCCACCTCATCAGAGAGCTTGAGAAAAACTGGCCTAGGGAATCAAAGTGCTACTTATTCTTTTCTTTCCAAGGAACTGAGCATCTGGATGTTAGAGCAGGTTAGATAATCTAAAGAAGTAGGGAGAGTGGAAGCATAAGCAACTTGAGTTTTTTCTCACCACACTTTCAGGTCTTATCTAAAGAGGAAGATGTATTCACTGAACACAAATATAGACACATCTTCTTGGATATGACTTGAAAGTGCAGGGAAAGGATGCTTCTCATACTTCCTTTCCCATTACTCTTCTGGAACTTCTATAGTAATGATTTACTATACCTCGCTGCATTTTGGGTTTATGGACCACAATAAAGCCATGTGTACAAAGCAGCTATAAAAGGATAAGAACTACTGACAGAGTGAATAATCTCATAGGTTGGATCCAGATGGAAGACATGGTTAGAGCAGAGCGTTAAGTTACTCCCTCTAGTTGAGCATACTTAAGTTTGCATCCAACCCTATAAATTCAATATTCTGAACATAAGATGAACCTGTTGGATCAGGCCAATGGCCCATCTAGTCCAACACCCTGTTCTCAGAGTGGCTAATCAGATACCTATGGCAAGGACGATCAAAGCACAAGAGCACTTCCCTGCCATGCTGCAACCGTGATTTCCAGCAACTAGTATTCGGAAGCATTACTGCCTCTGACCATGGAGGCAGAGCATAGCCATAATGGTTTGTAGCCTTAGATAGGTATAAATGAGAGCATTTGTATCTCTTGGCCTAAAAAATACAGGATAGTGAAATTTCCTTCTGATGGGTGACAATTAATTGTGATGGGTTTGAAAATGTTTGTCTGCCAATTAGCTCAGGCATCACAGACTTGAACGGATAAACAACAGCAATATTTGTTTACCCGAATATATTGATTGCCTTATCTGGCAACAAAAGGAAGAGTGCTAATGATGTCAGCAGAGAACAGAAGAGAAAGAGCTTGGTTTCAAATGGAATTTGTATTGAAGAAAGTAAGATTTCAGGGTGACATATTAAACTTAATTTAAACTGCAACGAAATCCCAGGATGAGGAATCTGGCAAGGCAATTTGTTCTGCAAAACCTTTTCATCATCGGGGGAAATGGGTCGGTTTTATTAGGCTTCTCCCAGATTCTCACCAACGTTGTCTACAGTTGGGCAGAAGAAAAAAGGAGATCTACTGACTCACAATTAATGCACTTTGAATCAACATAGCATAAATTATTATCACCACCACCACCACAAAGTATGTATCCACACCAATGGTAGCCAGCATAGTGCCATCCACATGTTATCAGATTCCAGCTTCCATCAGCCCCAACCAGCATGGCCAATAATCAGGAATGATGGGATTGGAGTCAAAGAACATCTGGAGGGCACCACATTGGTGACCCTTGTTCTATACAATGTATTCCATAGGCATACATTCCTGCCACATTAGAGAAAGGGGGTGAGGAGATTAGCATAAATATATATATTATCCTCATAAGCACCAGACTGCCAAGCACTCTCAGTTCAATTCACTTTCAACTGAGAAATTCATCTGATCAATCCCTGACAGCTGTTGTTCATGTCTCAGCTCAGAGAGAGAGAGAGCAGGAGAGAGACAGAGAAATAATGGCACTCTTATTAATGCGCATATCATCTTGCCTATGGGAATATCAATATGCATAAAGTTTCAAAGTGATACTTGAGCTGTTTGCCACTTACCTCCTGTGGCTGACATTAGTGCTACAAGAAAATATCATCCCTAGAAAAGAGGCTAGTGATCTGAAGAAGGTAACAGAGACCCAACGGGCCCACTTTGAGAGTAGGCTTTCGGTGCTGCCATGAATCTTCCTGCAGGAGGATTCTTGCACTTGCTTTTGACATTGTCATGTAAGGTAATTGTCTTAGAAGTATGCTGGTGTGAAAACTGACATGGATTCAGTTATTTCCTATTATCAGTGGCAGGGAACTGATCACTTGGCCCTTTTTGCACAGCATGGAAACCACAATGATCAGCTGGTGGGTCTTCAGTGCACAGAGCCTCACAAGCCACAATGGTCAACTTGTGATCACTGAAGCTTCTGTGCACTGCTATCCCTTGCTATCAGCTGCCCACTGGCCAGATCCAGTTCTCCAACACACAGACACACACACACACATACTTTGGGCGCAATATTTCAGAAAAGTGGCACACAGTCACACCTCGGGTTGAATATGCTTCATGTTGAACGCGTTCGAGTTGTGCTCCGCGGCAACCCGGAAGTAACAGAGCGCATTACTTCCAGGTTTCACCGCTCACACATGCGCATATGCTCAAAATGACGTCACACGCATGCGCAGTAGCGGCAAAAGGCAATGTGCGCATGCGCAGACGTGCCGTCGCTAGTTACGTTTGCTTCTGGATGTGAACGGGGCTCCGGAACGGATCCCGTTCGTATCCAGAGGTACCACTGTACAAAGAAACAAATGGTGGTGATGGGGTGATAGGAAGTAATGGAGGCATAACTGATGTGTCCAGAAATTGCTATGCACATGTCATTATAAACCAGATCCTTGTCTCCTAGCTTCCTATTAGGATAAGGATAAACTCTGTTTCTTTTCTCCTGCTGTTACTCATCATGGAACATGAAGCAGAGAAAGTGGTCCTGGCTTAGGTGAATTTGTCATCACAGAGAGAAATGTCATAGCCTCATTGATATGGGACAGATAAATTAGCAGAGCTTCTGTTCTAAGTCTATTGATTTCAATGCACAAATTTATTTTTTATTTATTTAAAATACCAACATTAAGAGACCCTCCCAATTCCATGCATGGAAGCCAAATGGAGTGGCAGTTAAATCTTAAACACTGGCAGCCAAACAATATATCCCACCACATATGAGAGCAGCAAGTTAACCTATCTGAAGCTTTCTCAAAAATTCACCTTTTAGGCAACACTTCTATTTCCTTTTTATGCCTGAATTATGCTTTATGGAATTTTAGAGATTGGTGTTTCTGATACCGTCCAAGAGAAACTTCTGGTGTTTAAAAGCCACTCATTTGATACATAAAGGCAATTCTGGTATTGCTAGGGGGGATGCATTGTACAAAATGGCAAAGAAAATAAATGTTTCTCAAAATAACTATGCTTCTGTAACATATTCATTTACTTGATTTTGCATTATTTGGGGAAACTTGAAAGGAATACCAACTATTCAAGTTAGGAAATTCTCCCACATGTGATCTTGTTTAAGTCAAGAAAATATTCAAAGTCATGAAAATATGCTCATGCCAAAATTATGCCTTAAAATTCAGAGGACTCTACATTTGATCAACGTGCGGCTCCAAGTAATTAAGGAAGATGTGGAAACAATCAATAAGCATGGACATCTATGATGGGTTGCCAACTTATGGGAAACCGATTCACCTAAACCTGAAGTTTGCTGTCTGGAAAGCATCCAGAAGCTTTTTCACACCCTGGGGGTGGGGGTGGGGGTAAACATTATAGCCTAATAAGTCCTGAAGGTGTTGCTACAGTGGCATAATGGAAAGTTGGCAGTTCTTACTTGGGGATACTCAGCCATGCAGGTTCCACTGGCGGAGGAAAAGGCATGCGGGGGGAGTGCACCACCCCCAGCAGACCGATCCTGGTGGGTGCTATCGCAGCTCCCCCCCCCTTGCTGGGCGCCACACCCCCAGGACGCACACCATGCCCCCGGGACGTGTGTCAGCCCCGTCCCCCACCTGCTCTCCACCCTCCGGTGCCGGAGCATGAAGCTCTGCCACTGGCAGGTCCCCAGGCTTATTTGCCAATACACTCTCCTTCACAGTTTGAGTGTCTCTCAAAAAGTTCCCAAAAAACAGTTTCAAAGAGCAGCCACAGAGATGTTTAGAAAATTGAACAAAAATTAAACTCATGTTTCTCCCTAGTGTCATTTATAAAGGCAAGATTAAACTCTGCTTTAAGATGCAAACGCTATGCAATGGTTTATCTGCCACCTAGTGGTTTAGTTGTAAAGATATTTTCCTCCTGTTTCATAGTCTTCCAGACAATAATGTCTCTTGTATGAGAAATATTATTATCAGACATTTGTGTTATATATATATATATATATATATATATATATATATATATATATACACACATACATACCTGTGGCGCTCCAGATGCTGTACGACTCCTGTCAGCCCCAGTCAGTCAGGGATCGCGGAAGTTGGAGTCTAGCATCTGCAAGGCCACCAGTAACCAATTCAATTTAAAAATAAACATTACTGAATATGGCCTGATTCAAGTAAATCATTGTGTTACTAATACAATTTATTCCTTACTGAAGATGCTCAAAGTCATGGCATTGGCAACAAGGGTTTTCACAATATTGGCCAACATCCATATTAGCCAAGTATCCATATCTTGTCTACAAGAAGATAATGGATGTCTTAATCCATTTTAGTAACTTCTCTGTAAAACGGGAATGACCACTTTTATTACATTCTTTTTTGGGCACTGCCTGGCAAAAACATTGTGAAGTGTTCAGCACATATTCAACCTGATACATCACTCTTTCTAACAGAGAACTCAATATGGCAAATGCTGACAGAAATGAAGCCAAAACAAGTCTCTAAGAAACAAGAACATGGTATCAGGATGCCAAATGGTCTGCGTAAGTGCAAGGGTGTTTAAGAAAAGCTGTAAATGTCCAGCTTGTGCTTCTATCAGCTTACATATCCTAGAGAAAAGCACTGCTGCTTGGCTGGAACTCTGAAAGGAGCTCCCTTATCAGGAGGTGACGTGGATATACTGTAACATTTTGTCGCAGGCCTCACTTCTAGATATTTAACCATCATTCCTCTTGGGACTTGTTCCTCCTGTTTGCCAAATGGCACAAAAAGCCAACAGATCCCAGTCACAAAAACAACGCTAGAAAGATACACAAATGTAAAACTGCGAAATCTGTTCCCTACAGAAGCAACATTCATTGCCAGTTGCCTTTTGCTTTCAAAGTAATGGAACTGGGTTGTTGAGGTAAACGTTTAGTAAACTCCATGAAGTTGCCTCTATTCTCTGCATGAATCATGACTTCTGCTATTTCCAGGAAAACTGCATAACAGCTAAGCGCTATTATTACATTTTTTTTCCTGCACAGCAAGTTGTCAATTATACAGTGATGTGACACCACAGCTTAAGCATTATCTGATGATTCAGTGCTATGCACGCCTTTTAGTTCTAATTACGGTTACTGAAACTGTGCTTGCTAAGAACTTCCCCAAACCTTTTACATTGGAGTTAGACATACAGTGATTCTGAACATTCAGAATCTGAAAACTGGTTCACTTCAAAGTACCTCTTTTCAAATTTGAAAAGAGCCAAGCTGTCGAGAATTTAAAAGAGAACAAGGATATAATGGGCCTGCAAAGTCTATTATTGTGACGCACTGCCCTTCAATAAAGATTTGACACTGCAGCCAGGACCTGGTTGTGGTCATGAACCATGCTGAGCCCTTATGTGGCTCAGCTCTGCAGATGCTCCCAACCTTCAGATATATCATTGAAATCCAATTATATCCCAAGACTACTGATGATCCAGGCCATATTGAACGGAAATACATCTAAAAAAATACTTAAGTGATGATGGGGTACCTGTGGCCCTACAGACCACAACTCCAACGTTTTCTGGCCATTGGCCATACTATCTAGAAGGTTGCAGTTTCCCTAACCTTGAGTTAAATGCTGTTTCACGCATTCCATGGCGGCAAACACTGTCAAATAATTGACAATATTCAAATATGGGGAATATTGCATTCATTTTCCTGGTTATAACGTTAGTGCTTCTGCCCTGTTTTCTAATGTTCATTTCACATTGCAGTACCTGTTGCAGTACCTGTTGCATTATGGAACTGTGGCTTTTGAATCACTATACCAGCATGTCATACTAAATTTCATTCACACCATTGGATGTGATGTGACATAACAACAAACGCCATTGGACAATATTGCTTTCCCTGACCCTTTCTGTTGCTTCTGTTCAGCCATGTTTCAGCCACAAAAATTGCAGGAAGCAACTTTATGCTGGTATACTGACCCCAAATTTCATCACTTCACCCCCACAATTTTCTGGGTTAATAGGGTTTTAAATGGATTTTTTTCTGGAACAAATGAATAGAGAAGCAAGTGGTAAACTTCTACTATATTCCACTGGATTTCTAAAAGTGGCTTTTACATTGTGTGAAAGCTCAAATATAATGCAGAAATTAATAGTTAGGGAAATGTGAAGGAAAGGAAATAAACTACGGTGCGAATGTAGTCAAAGAGCTGCAGTGAGGTCTGCATCCCTAATGACAGTAGAGATATCTACATGCTACAACGTGTACAATCTGTGTGGACAAATACTAGTGCCACACACATTCACATGTAACATTTAATGACTATATAGTTTGTGCACCTCCATGCACAATACTTGAGATGTATAAATCTACCTGTGTACAATATGCCTGTGTTCATTGTAACATGTAAGCAAGCCTTGTATCTTTATAATATATGTATTTGTGTGCCCATTTTGGTTGCATTCCTGCATTAGGTTAGTTGCTGCAAAAAAAACATGGGGAGACTTGCAGCACCTTAAAGAGTAGCCCATTGATTATGGCATAAGCTTTTGTGGACTCCAGTCCATGAAATCTTATTCCATAGTAAATAGGTTAGTCTTCAAGATACTACTAGGCTCTTTCTTGTTTTTTCCCATAAAAGAGAAATGGAATACGTAAAAGTTGTGGTTTCTATAAACAGAAAGGTTTCTAAACAGAAATAGGAGTATATAGTTTCATAAACAGAGTTTTCTAAACAGAAAAAAATAAATCTTCTGAGACTTAAGAGGTATAGAGAGTGCCCCTCTAGAAAGTGTATTAAATGCATTTCTGTTTTTTCTGGCAAATTCAAAGTTTTGAAAATGAAGTATGTTTAGTGTAGCTATTCAGTATGGTTTACATGACCCTATTCACTTCATGGGACTGAGAAGTCAATCAAATTCAATTTAGGTAATTTATATGGATTGTGTTTGATCAACTTAATTACAGAAGTAATTGAAACAGCAAATGAATTTTTCCCATATGCGTGTGAAGCTATCAAGTCAAAAGGATAAACCCAGAACAATCTCTTCATTATCTGTGTCAGTGACGCCCAGATCTATCATTAGTGCATTGCCAGGGGGAGGAGTGGAGAGCTAAACAGAACAGGGCCACAACTGTTAATGCCACCATAAAAAAGGAAACCCAGTACTATTTTTGTAATTTTTCTTTTAAATATTGTAATGTTGTAAAGTTTAAACAACTTAGTTATTCAGAAGATGCAAAGATTAAGAAATAATAAATTCCCCTTTCCCTTAATAGGAGAAAGGGATGAAGCTCAGTGGCAGAGCATCTGCTTTGCTTACAAAAGGCCCCACATTCAATCTCTGGCATCTTCAGGTAGGGTGAAAATGCCCTGAAGCCCTGGAGAGTCATAGCCAATCAGTTGAGGCAATACTAAGCTAGATGGACCAATCGTCTGGCTCAGTATTAGGCAGTCTGGTTCTGAGGAGCTTCAGTGGCACACTTCCTTGCTAATATAATTTGGCACTTTTATGTGATTTAATTGCCTTAGTTCTGTGTTCACTCAATACAAATCCCAGTTTCCTCCTCCATGCCAATCATCTTTAGCCAGACGTTTTGGCTTCACAAGATATGAAAAACCAAACCCTGATGAACTGTGGGTGGTTTGCTTTTGGGTTTGTTTGGTTTTTTTGCTTGTTTATTTTTTTAAAAAGATGTAAGTTATTTCCCTCTCTTTCTCTCTCAGTCTGTTGCTAGGGGAAATATGGGGGGTGATACACAACTCGCTGAAAGCATTCTGCAAATAAAACTGGTCATTACACAGGACTATCAAGATAAATCATTTGTTCTGTTCTTAGGAGGATTTTCTTCATGACAAGGCACAGCTGTCAAAGCTTCAGTAGAACCTGACTCTTTTTGGCAGGAAGAAAAAGCCACCAAATGGCAGTCTGCAGCTTGCAGCAGTTTGAGGAATGCTTTCCAACTGTGGCTCTCGATTGCCATAGTCAGAGCAGACATACTGGAGGAGATCCAGCTGAATCAAAAAGAAAAAAAAGAAAAAGTATCCCTGAGAGATTTTTTAAAAGCAACTTACAAGTCAACTTACTTATTTTGAGCCTGTCAAGAGCCTCAGCTGGCTCCCATAGTGATTTAAGGGAATGCTGCTTCAGAGATTTTGCATATCCTTCCTCTGTGCCACTCCAAAGTTCTATAAGGACATGGAATGAACCTGAAAACCAAGCATGTGATAATTCAGAGACAGAATATACTGACATGTGCGCTGTTCTAACAAACTGTTCCAAGACCAAAATGGCTTCTGAGAAATTCAAGCACAGGACAGTCTTTGGCACCCATGTGCATCTGAGTCAGAATTCACCAGAAGATTCTCTTTCCATCCCCTCAGTATTGAGGGTTGTAGATAAAAATGTACTAAAGATGTTCTGCTCTTGAGCTGATTATACGCTATGCAGAAACAGAGACCATGAGCTGAAATTCCTAATACCAAGTATTGCTTGTATTTTGGGAAGGATTTCACACACACACACAAATGGCAGATCTCATAAGCAGATCTAGGACTTTGCACATTAGCTTCTGCTAAACCCCTTGACATTTTATCAGGGGGGAAAAGTGGCAAAGAGATAAGAGCACAGGAAAAGCCATTATGCAGCTGATCAGCGATTGATTTAACTAAGGCCTAATTCATGCATACCTCCACCAGAGTGGTATGGCTGTTATATACCTCCTTAGCTGTATCTCTCTCTGCAGGCAGCTGAGGAGGAACAAAGGTGCTTACTACATTTCTGGACTGAAGAAATGCCTCCCCAGTTCTGTGCCAGGTGCCTTGTACTTGCCTAAATGCTAACAGCACCATCTTTTATTTCCTGTGTAAAAACAGCAGATGGCTATCTTGCATGAATCAGCTCTCAGAATAAAGGTGCACATGTTGGCTGTATAAACACAACAAGCTTGTATTCCACTCTCACTGATGGCCTGTTCAGCCCGCACCCTCCCAGTACCTTATCAAAAGAGTGGTGAGATTAGGATTTGACTGAGTGTGGCAGACTAAAAGTGGGCCTTAAACTTGAAAAGGAGATCAGGGTTCCGGCATGTTTAATAGATGGGTGGAAGAAGAAATTTCAGCAGATGCAGGCTTTCTGTAAGGCAAAAGGCTCCAGCCAAAATTATATTAAACTTGCAGAAGGCCTCCTTCTCTCTGACACTCACACACAGGGCTCCTCAATACAACCTGCTTATACAGCATTCACAGACACTCAGAAAAACAGAGTTGAAATTTAGAAGGGACCCAAAGGGTCATCTAGTCCAACTCCCTGCAATGCCCACAGCTATCCCTGGGTGGGCTTGAGCCTTTTGGTTAACAGCCAGACACACTGACCCATTGAGCCACCTGGGGGTCATTTTTATTTGCTTGCACAAAAGTGTACATGGTGGTTAGACTGTGTTTGTGTGGGATGTAATCCACTGGAGCAGTCAAGTACAACATTACCTGTTTTGCTAGAGTGGACATGCAGGGAATGTTGGTCCAGCCAGTCGAACTTCCTGTTACACCTGGCTGGAGCATCCATTCTTTGCATGTGACCAGTAGGTGGGCATGACCTTTCCAGACCCGGTAAAGGCCAAGTCACATAGCCACCTCTCTTCTTTTCATCCTGCCTGCTTCCTGCTTCACTTAGACTGGGTTACTCTCCCATATGGGGTAAAACTATTTGTACTTATTTGTAACTTTAATCCTAAAGCCTGTCTTCAGGGATCACACTGTGCTCTGCCTGATCGTGAGTACAGTGGTACCTCAGATTAAGAACTTAATTTGTTCTGGAGGTACATTCTTAACCTGAGGTGCCACTTTATCTAATGGGGCCTCCCGCTGCAGCGCACGATTTCTGTTCTCATCCTGAAGCAAAGTTCTTAACCCAAGATACTATTTTGGGTTTAGCAGAGTCTGTAACCTGAAGCATCTGTAACCCGAGGTACCACTGTAAACTTCTTTTTGTTACTTATGAATAAGACTGTTGTGTCTTTATTCTTTTAGGAGGGATTCAAGGGATATTATCAGGAACATATCCCAATCTGGGCAAGCCAGAGTGAATTGCTTATTATCTTAAGAGATTCTAACGAGTCTGCAACCAGCTTCCTGCTGTGTAATAGGGGAATGCACTCTGCTGTATGAAGAAACTTGCTAGCGCGAGTTAGGAAGGATAATATTACTTAGTATATCCTCTCCTGTTACCCACAACATTCCCAGAGTTTGGTCTTTATGGAACATTCATTCTGATTTGCTTGCAAGGTGTTTACCATAGCTGCATACAAACCATGCATTTAAAGCAAGCTCGTGCACACATACATCTTGAAAAGAATCCTGAGACTGCAGTTTACACTTCACAAAGCTGCAATTTCCAGAACAGTTCTTTTGGGGGGAACTGTGCTGTATCGCGTGTACACAGCCCATATCTTCCTGTGCATCATTCTTTCAGCCCACACTGTTCAATACATTTCCCCATCACTTTCCAAACTGCAAAAGTCCAAGCTTTTAAGTGGATTTGATTTGCAAGGGTGGCAGAACCCTTTAATGCACCTTAGCTGCACATACCTGAAGTTCTGGTGTGAATCCCTCCCGCAAAATACTGACAGTTTGGGGGCACTTATGGATGCTTTTCTTGGGAAACAATCTAAAAGAATGCCTATATCATCTTTCTTTTCGTTCACTTTTAGTTATCCTATCCAAAAGCAAAAGCAAAAAACATAGTAAAAGAATAGGCGGCAGACAGGAGAGAAAAGCAATGCAGTTATGTAAAGGTTACTTCATAATTGTACCACCTAGCATTATATATATCTCCCTGGAACATCAAAACAAAAAAGCCAAGAACAGAGTATCAAGCCCATCTATTACCTGAGATGACAATTCCTATGTTCCCTTGCTTAGTGAAATAAATCAAGACATGCTGGTGTTCTCCCTCGTCTGAGAGATGGGAAATACGTGAACACACACGGCCATTTGTCATGTGTAAGCAGAGACAGATTGGTAAGCTTGCCTATTTCCCCCTTTTCTATTGAGAAGATTAGTTTTAGTGGTCAGGAGTTAGGTCTTCAGCTATGCCACTGCTGAAACTACTGTTTCACTGGCCAGTAATACTAAGTGTTCCTGCCTCCTTAGTGGTACATTGCTACTGGGTTTTTTTTGGGGGGGGTGTTGTGGGATACAGTAGAATAATCAGTCACCATGACAAAGGATGGAACCCTAGGCAATCATGCTAGGCTAGAAATGGCTGCCATCCATGGTCACACAGTACTCTCTTCCCAGGTTCCACACTGCAGATGTTGATGACATTCCATACCCTTGTCATGATGTTTGTTAGGAGCTAAAACAACAGGCAACATTACCTGGCCTTACTAAGATGAGGGCCTGAAGCATAGCGCAAAGCTGCTGCCATGGCTGGGAGCGAGACAAGTACTGAGGCAGGTGATTGAGGTGCAGAAGCTGCTGCTGGGAACAGCTGTGGCTGCCGGTGAGGAGAAGGGGAAATGGGGGCCTTCGAGGCAAGGGGTTCTACACCTTTGCGGTGCAATGAAGGCTGCAGGCCCCCTGGTCTCTCCTGCAGCTGACTGGCCTCCTTGGAAAAGCTGTGCTGGGGCAGGTGTGGCACAGCAGCACTCACCCAGAAAGCCCATCTGAGAAAGCCCGTCCCTCCAGGGTATCCTCTTTGGCCAGTTGTACAGGGTGATGTGGGAGTGGCATTGCTTTTTATTAGCCACCCATATTTTATACCTTTGTATCCCACTCATCCTCTAAGAAGCTCAGGGGTGTACAAAGTTCTCGGGCTCCCCTGCTGGTAACCCGCTGACAGTACTGCAAATGGTACTAGTTACAATGGGCCAAAGGTCAGGCTGAGTGTAAGGCAGCTTTCTACGGTCCTGTTTACATTCAACCGGAACCATGAGGACCAGAAGCCTGCTTCATTTTTTAGGGGAATGGCCACAGTTGTAGCTGCTCAGTAGCAGAGCACCTGTGTCAGGTTTGATTCCCTGACAACATATGCTGGTAGGACTGGGAAAAGACACCCCACCTGAATTCCTGGAGAGCTGTACTGCCAGTCAGAACAACTAAGAGGAGCATGTCGCAACTTAAAGAATAACAAAATGCCAGACTAGAGACAATACTGAACTAAGGGTTTGACTAAGGCACCTTCCTATGGAAACTTTAAAAAACTCCCCATGAAGTGGTAAGAAGCGGGGGGGGGGGGACGGACGGACAGGGTAACATCTATGAATGGCCAGAGCAAGACAAGGGTCTCAGAAAAACTAAGGCTCCAGTCGTAGCCCCACTTAACCTGGGAATATGCCCTATTGAATTCACAGGTACTTACTTCTGAGTTGATATGGTTAGGATTACACTGTAACCTAGCAGGGAGAGAACAACTTTTAGAGTGGGGAGAACATAACAACCCTGTTAGATCTGACCAGAAAGCACATTTGCAGAAACCCCACAAGCAGGGCTTGTGGGAGAAAGCTGACTCCTGCTCCCCGGCAGCTGTTGCAATGGGTGCCCCTAATTTCATCTGCAAAGAATCGAAGGCTATGGAGGTTAGATTATATCTACCCTCTGTTGAGCATTTTTTCTGATTTGTTTGCAGGACAGTTATACAACAATAAGCATCCATCCCCATTTGCTAGCAGAGTGTTTATACGTCTTCCCTTTAATCATTCGCTGGTTTCACACTTCTGAATTCATGTCCCTGTCATTGTCCTAATTGCAAACAGTTCATTTTTATAATGGGGATCGTTGTGCTTTGCTGACAGAGCTCTTTTAATTGCTCAAAGCGAAATGTCCAAGTGTGTTCTTGGATCATGCCCAGATAATACTGACAGTCCGGAGGTGCCCTAAATTATCCAGATCAGCTTAAACAGGTTAGCCAGGTATTATGGACCTAAACAATTGCAGAATTCAGATAACCAAGCCAGAGATCAGTATCCAAGGCAGCACCCTATAATTTCAGGGCAAAAAGACAGATAAGGTTAGGACAGACTGGGACCAGAAACAGCTGAGGAAGTCATAGGACTGGGACAGGAACAGAGGAAAGCCAGAGGCTGAAGCATCCAGTCACAATATCCAGGAGAGATATCTGTTAAAGGCAGTATTCCAGGCATCCAGGCCAATCATGGCAGAAATACAGATGACATATGAGACATGACAAGAGAGTAAGGATCAGAAAAGTTTTGTATTTAAGAGATAGGAACAATTTGACAGAAATAATCATCTTTGAAAACACACCCTAGGGACCTATGAAAATTCTGCTAAGTAACTATGATGGAGACTAGCAATGAATTGTACAGGGTGAGTGAAATGCAACATGCATCTCTCTCTCTCTCTCTCTCTGTTTCTAACATTCTCTCTCTCTGTTTCTAACATTCTAAAACGAACCCATGCCTAGAAGGCAGGGTCTGAAAGAGCCCATTTCTGAAACAGTGTGAAATCATGTAACACCAAATTATACAGGCTTTCTTTCGTTCCTTTTTTGTGGAAATACATTCACACTTTAAAACTTACTACAATCCACTTCTTCAGATGCATGGAGTGTTATCCTGAATTGCAGGCAGGGATGAGCAAATCTCAGTTTCTCATTTTTCCAATATTAAATTCCATTCTCCACAATACTTTGCTTTTTTTAAAAAGTCCTCATGAAAATTCATCAGCATTTGAGTGTGAATTTCTTATAATATACACATTTTTTATGTAATTCATCCCAATATACATTTTTGCATGTTGTTTTTAATAATGTACAGTTTTATGCACAGTTTATGTTTGCATATGCATTTTTTGTACACATTACTTGGCTGGAGAACAGCAGTGCAAAATTCAAGTAAGTGTGACTTTCAAAATATTGCTGTGTTTCAGTTTACATATTGATTCAGAAAGTGTGAATTGGGTAGGTTCACCTTTAAATGTGAAATGAATTTTTCTTCCCCATTCCTAATTGCATACACATATATAAATGATGCTGGAGAATTGTAACAGTGAGGTCAAAAGGAAAGGAAATGCAGAAAGGCACAGGTGATAACACCCTTGAGGGCTTGTTCTGGGGTGTTTAGACTCAGGTACATGTGTGTATCAGCTGATATACTGAGAGTTCCTAGGGATGCTGTGTGTGCTCTGTTCTGTTTGCTTGCATTCCTGGGCTGCCATTTTTGAGCCACTTCCCATGTGCTGTCTCTGTGTACACTTGCAGTCCACACGCACCTGAGAAGGGCAGTGGGGGACTCTCCCCTGCATGTTCACAGGTGGGCACAATTCCTATGGTGATGCTAAGTTGGCTTTCATTGGCTCATTTCCATTCCACTGGGCAGCTGCCCAATCCCAAACCTTCCTGGACAGACTCTGGGTCTGGTGTAATTTATGCCAGGTTGCTGCACTTAGGGCTGCTCTGTAAAATAGCTGCCATTAAAAACATTTCACAATGTCTAATAGCCTACTTTCTAAGCAATCCTCACAAACGGAGTCAGACTCAATTATCATGTTTCATTTATCTGTTGAACTTTCACCTGAAAAACATGTTATACTCCCCTGAAAATTTGAATCCTCTTATCAGCTGGGATTTCCTCTTCTTAGCTACAAACCCTTCTTCCTTATTCACACAAATAACCTTTTAACCCACGCAGAATGCTGCCTTCTAGGTCAGTACCAAAAGGTGCAGAGGCCAGGAGAAGATCAGAAAACACATTTAGATTTATCATTATCAAAATCCTGCAACCTTTGCTGTTCTTTCCAACTTTTCTTCCCTTTGTTATATAAATGAACCTTCTGTTAACTGATGGTATCCTTCTGAGACATTCCGCCCAACGACCCACTGCAACTGTTATCTCAACTCTCTATTTCCACTAGTACTCTCAGCTATCAGATCTCATGCAAAACACATAAAGATGCTCTCCCATATTTCTCCTATCACTGCCAAACTAGTCGTGACATGGGAGATGCATGATTAAGTTATCCCACAGCTTTTTAAAAAGAAAGATTAATAGGCACCACTGCAGTGGACCCTGAATCCGATTGAACCATGCTTCTGAAGTGGCGCAGAGATAACTTTTTGTCTTCCTATTTTCCTGATTAAAATTGGTTCTGCTTCCTGCAGGGGGAAAATAGCAGCTTTGGGAAGCCATTTTGAATGGGGAAAGGGTACACAGCGAGCAAAGGTGAAACTTCACAGGCTTCCAAGTGCCACACTCCCAATCTGATTCTGGTCCTTCTTGGCTACTATTACCGGTAATCCTTTTAAAACAACAACAACCAGGCAAGCAGAAAATCCACAGGAGATTCTAATTACCAGCCTCCCACACCATATCTAGTTGCAGCCTCAGGAACAATTCATCTCGGCTTTGTGGTGCCTCTTCTAAAACCTTGATGTGTTATAAATGGTGAACATAACTGGAAACTACATGCTGCTTCTGTTTAAACACTGCATTCAAATACAACACACAGATGCTCTCTTAGTTTAAAAGGACACCCCAGAGAGCCTTTGTCATTTGAAAAGTCCTGGGATTCACAAGGCTGTAATCAGAAGAGCTGATATTGCCGCTCTTGTTGGACTTCTAAGCACCTCTGCGGCTATCAAGGGCTGCCAGCCAGAATCTTCTGAGCAGCTCACAATAGGGGTTGGTACCAACAGCTGGCCCTCCACTATTGCCCCCACCTCAATACTGGTAACCTGAATTTTCCATTTAAATATACTTTCCTCTATTTCTGGTGTTCTACACCGAATAGGGACGGGCAAATCTGTCAGTATTGTTTCTCTCAGTTTCTTTCTCTTTTTTCTAATCTTAACTTCACATTTCCACATCAGTTCCCTTTTTTAAAAAGAAAGAAAAGTCCTCATTAAATTTATCATCAGTTTAGCATTTATTAGGGTCAACTGTAAGTCATAGAATAGTGAGCTGGCAGAGTAGTGTTGTGGTTTAGCATGCACAACCCTTATCACACAACTAAGTTTCCTAGATAATCTTGGACCAATTGTTGCTTGAGCCTAGCTCTTCTAATAAAGTGGTCATGTGCCAGGCCGGGCCCTCTCAGGTTAAAAAAGCAGCAAATGCTGCTGGCCATGTGCTCTGGCACTGAGCTACAACCCTCTGAAAGTTCCAGAAGAGGAGGTCAAACTACGAGAAGAGAAACTATTGTTCAGAAAGCTGCTTTCGTTATTCTTTCTTCTTTCATGCTAGAGGTTCAGAGAGGGGAGTCAGCCTTGTTTGGTGGGATACTGCCGGACCTTTTTCTCAGCAGATCTCATCAGAACTTAGTTCCAACACCCCTCAGGTGGGCACCATTGCCATTATAAGAGAACAAGGTTCATGGTGAGTTCTGGCACCTCTTTTTCTAGAAAAACAGCACTGGATACTGCAGATCAACCCACGTTGAGTTGTGCTTGTGGAAGTGAAGTCGCTCACACAGATTGCCACACACTGTTCAGCCAGCTTGCTTCACTGCTAGAGGTCTTTACATCTGCTGAGCCAGTGCTTTTCCAGAGCTGAAAGCGGAATTCAAATAGGAGATTCCACGTGGCACTTGGAATAGCATTATATTATCCAACAATACCATCCTGAGAGCAAGATGCTTCTGGAATGTTTACTCACAAGTAAGTCCTGTTCGGCATATCTGTCTATTATATTATCTATTCTATTTATCTGTTATCTAGAGTGTTTATATTCTGCTTTCCAGGAGGACCTCACAGAGAAGTTTACATAGGATTATTACAACAATAAGCATCCATTTAAAAAAATTAAAAAGTTGCAATAGAATGGGGAAAAACAACATCTGTTTAGAACAAGTTGTTACTGCTTCTTCTCCTTAGGACAAGATGATCCTTCAGATGCTCTTGTGGTGGAAGTTGAGGGGGGAGGGCATAGGTCTTTTCTAATCTTAATTAAACATTTCCTGTTTGAAGGTCTTACCCATTATATTGTTTCCTGTTGACAGCATCTGGGAGATTAGTGACATATAGACTGTTAATTGCCTCTTGAACAGCCTCTCTTAATTGCTGCAGCACCAGTTATTTCTGTATCCTGGAAAGAAGGGACTTTTAAATTACTAGTATCTTTAGAAAACAATGTATAATAAAATAACTATATGGCTCTAAATAGGGAAAAGGGGAAAATTATAAGGAAGCACAATGACACTTACAATTTTAAAAAATCATATGAACAAAGTTACCTAGAGTTTTCACCCTAAAGCTGTTCTGCGGGGAGCATACTCCAAACGGGGGTTGCCACCATGGTGCCTGTGACTGCAAAGGCAGCCTGGATATCTTCTCCTGGCACCCATAATATCTTCGATTGCCACCCCACCCTTCACCACTCACTGTCCTCTTGAAGGTGGTGAGAGTGGTTACTTTTCTTTTCCTTGGAAAATACATAAGAATGAAGGAAGAAGTTGGAAAAGTGACACTCCTGTTTCAACTCAGTGCTCAAAGCAGGGGCGAAACTAGTCTTTATTTCACCTGGGTCAAAGACCCACTTTGGCACACACACACACACACACACACACACACACACACACAGGATTGGAGCCTCAATGGTGCGCCTCTGGAGGCTTCACCCCAGGGCAAACAAAAACAAAAACCCAGTAGCACCCCCTCCCCAGCTATGGCACTGCTCAAAGTGCAGATGACTTCTACAATATTCAACTTTTACCCAGATCCCTTGGAAAAATGAACTGTCTGTGTGCATACTTTCACTCCCCCTTAAACTGCAAATATAGCACACAGGTTCCTCTCTGGAGCTTGTTAGCAGTCAATATATTCATCTAGCTTTCTTTCTTGTTTTACAGTCACAAGGTCATAAAAACAGACACTATCAAAAAGGCTTGTTTGACTGTTGATTACTCTGTCTTACCTTTGCAACATCTCATGTTGTGTACCCCAAATTTAAAAGGGCAATCTGCAGTATTCCCAATACATTCCACTCAAGGTCAGAGTATGAAAGAAACACAGACCTCAAGTAAAGGGGGAGGGGAGAATCCAAGCTACCTGCAGTTTTCTGCTGTCATGCACTTTTGGCATGATGAAAATATATTTTACAAATGCAAGCGGCCAAAGGTCATCCAAATAAAGGAATTGGTTTCCCCACCGCTGAACAGCCCAGTGCCTCTTGACATCAATATTCTATCTTCTCAGGCACAAATGAAGAGCTTCTTCTAATAAAATAAGCTGTGAAGCCAATTCTGAGTGCTTTGTGTTGCTATACTTGCACTAAGTCAAACAAAGCCTCTTCCCCATTTTTGAAATTCAAAACCCATCCTTATCTATTCTTCAAAATTATTTTGCTATCCATTCTTCACTCAAAGCCCAGTTTTCATTTAACAAAATTTAAGCATCATTTGATTGCAGGAAAACCTCTAAGCAGTTTGCGGAAACATTAAAATTATTTTTTATAACCAGTTTTAAAAAATTAAAAACATTTAAAAATAATTAACATTAACACTAAAAGGGAATGGAACACCACATCTGTGTACAGTGGTACCTCAGGTTACAGACGCTTCAGGTTACAGACTCCGCTAACCCAGAAATAGTACCTCGGGTTAAGAACTTTGCTTCAGGATGAGAACAGAAATCGCGTGGTGGCAGCGGGAGGCCCCATTAATTAAAGTGGTACCTCAGGTTAAGAACAGTTTCAGGTTAAGAACGGACCTCCATAACGAATTAAGTTCTTAACCCGAGGTACCACTGTATCGGGGATAGGTTTGCCTAAATAAAAATGTTTTAAGCAGGTGCCAAAAAAAGACACCAGCCTGATGTCAATAGGCAAGGAATTCCAAAGTGTAGGTGCCACACTAAAAGATCAATTTCTGATAAGTGTAGAATGAGGGTTATCTGGCAAACTCTTATCTTCTTTTGTAGTACCAGAATGCTTGGATATGTTCTGAAGGAAAATATGGGGTTAAAAGCACAACTCAAGTTTTCCTGAAGCACCAGAGACCAATTATATCTCTCAACTCTGCTGTATATGGAGTATAATGGATTTCCTTAGGTGAAGAGGCACATAGTTTGGGAATGTGTGATGCATCTTTGAACCGCAAGTAATTTAGAACTTTGGGATGGGGATTATAACAGAGGTTGGAGCAATTTGGCAGAGGAGTGGTAGTTGAACACTTCTGTGCTTAACGGAGGGGAGCTGAATTAATTAAATGACCACTTTCTCTGGACAAGGACTGCTTCTCCTCTCACTCCCTACCCATAATACTAAGATGAGCCCCTTATATTTTGATGTATTTCAACAGTGCCACCTAGAGGGGTCTATGATTCTGCTCCCCCTGCAATGAACCCTGAAGAGACAGCTACTGTTGCTTTGTTTCTAAACATCTATCCTCAAGTTAACTGTTTTTAAACGAAGCCTAAGTGTAAAGAACTGCCAAGCTCATTTGTTACAAAATTGCAAAGTCATTAAGGAGGTGGAATTAGCCTCCAATCAAATTTCTAAATGGTCAGCTAGACCACTTGAAAAGGCGAACAGGCAACCAAAATGGAGCCTAAGTGGCCATTTTCCTCCCAGGCTATATCTGCATTGGATTTGAAATTGTTTTTACATGTATTTTCATTGTTGACTTTTTATTGTAATTTGCTTTGGGATGTTTCATGGGAAGTGATTCATAAATGAAGTAGATAAACTGAAAGAAGGATGAAGATTGGAACCGGGGGCTCTGGAGGTCAGCAGTGGGAGACCTCCTGGGGTGTCAGCCACACCTGATGCCTAACTCCTGGGCTGCAGGGGCTGTATGCACATTTCATGCATAGCCATACAACAACAACAACCCATAACTCACAAGTGGAAAGAGGCATGAAGTGGATGGAAGGCTCATTTATTGCCTGTGGCTCCCACAGGGTTGGACTGAGTCCTGGCAGAAGATTTGTCTAAGCGTATCAAAGCATTTTGTGTTTTCCACCCTATAGGTTTTTGTGGCCTCAGGGCATAAAGAAATTTTTTGGCGTTGAATTGCAGAAAATTCAAATGGAAAAAAACCTTTGCAGGTTCCTATCTAGTCAGTCAAGATGCATAGCAAGAAAAGTTTGCATTCACCACAGGGGTAGCTGCTACTGCATGCTTAAACACACATGACACTCCTGCCTTTAGTTCTGTCTGCTTTTCCATTTAAATGGTGGAAATTGTACCTTGCAAATCTGCTGCTGCTCCGAAATCTTGACCTGAGCAGAACAGCAGGCCCATCTAGGCTCCCTGAAGAACCATACCCAAAGGGCAGGCACTGCATACTTTTCTTACAACTACTTCTCAGAGTCTCTTGGGCAGCTTTCCAACAAGTTTTTAAGATTTCTTATAGTCCTCCCAAGGCACCATTTCCCCCCTGTAATCCATCAAGCAGAAAGCCAGTAATCTAATTGAGATTTCCAATGGTTGTAAATATTTCACTGTAATAACACAGGTCACAATTCATTAGCCTCACATCATTAGCTCCAGCACTTAATATCAGCAGACCTCATTTTTCATTTTAAATTCAACACCTTTGAAACACCTGAAGTGTAGCAGTGACCTCTAAAGTACATAGATGGAGAGAGCGATTCAAGTGGTTGCATTGTTTTCAAAGCCTTCTGCTGCGGAAGGATAAGTTGTGCTGCTATTCTCCTGCTGATTATTATACAGATAAGGAACTTTTCATTCTCTTTTCTTGTTAAATATTTGCACGTATCTTTCAAGAGCATAAACTTGAACTGAATCAGCTATTAATCAGTTTCTAATCCACATGTTTATAGTTCCATGTAATCCTCACAGGTACTATCATAGCAGAATTATTTGTTGAACATGCAACAGTGGGCAATTGCTCCACTGAAGTACATTTTTCATCTTCCCAATTTTCATTGTGTTGCTCGTTAAAACAAGACACTCAAGACATGGGCTCATAGAAAGATTCTCAGCTCTGTAAAAGCACATTTCCAACCTCACTACTCCCCGTTGCATAAAGGGAAGATTGATTCCAGAGCCCAAAGCAGAATTACATTTTGAAACATGACAATTATATTAATGACTCAGAGCCTGCACTTGGTTATGACTGACTCTCATTGTTGAAAATGTTAAGCATCTTAAGTGCTAGGCTTGCTGCAACATGAGTGAAGATCATTGGAAGCACCTCTCCACAACTTTTCAGAGTAGACATGCCATTAGCTACTCATCTGGTTGCTTGTAGTGAGTGAAGATTGCATCCAGGTGAGTACAGAGCCTGTCATGTGCTCAACTACCAGAGTGATGGACTATTTTACTCTGTACTGAACTATAATATCGCACATGGCCCTTACTCCTCCTTAGATTCCTACATTCCTTCCAACACTACAGTTCTATGATTCTAGAGCCAGGCTACACCAATGATAGATCACATACTAGAACTAATATGGGAACATAACACTGAGGGGATTGTATAAATGAATGGTCCCCATAGAAAAACACACACTGCCCATTCAAAACTAGATGTACCTGAATAAAGCTAAGAACCTTATCACTGTAGCTTTTCCACAACTTAAAACTGGCAAGAAGCATTATTAGTCAATGATTTCACCTGAGCATCCAAAACCAACACCAAGAGCATAGCAGCTAACAGAGAAACTACTTTGCATTGAATAATGATCAATTCTAACCAACAAAAGAGTGCCTTAAAACAATATATGCATTTGTATTGTATTATTTTTTGTAAGCCACCTTGGAGCCAATTCTGGATTAAAAGGCGAGATAGAGCTCAAATGAACAAACAGATGCAAGATATTTTGTTTTATTTGGAAATATAGAAAAAGAGATTTTGTACACCTCCATTTCCACAAATGCAGTGTCTTGATTCATAGTGTACTGCCTTACTCTGCCCTTTCAAGACGGCTGTGTGAACTGTCTGATATCATAAAGCAGAAAAAGCTCTTCTCTGAGAATAAGCACTCAAATCTGACAGGTACTCTTTGCAAGCGTACTGTGATTTTACGGTATGAAACCACAGAGAACTTGGAGTCAGCTAATGCTGCCAAATTGTTTTGGGCTTCCAAATCGTGAAGCTTGTTCTCAATTTCGGACTTGGCAGTGGTTAAATTAACCCTGTAAAATGAACCTCAGAAAACTCACTTTACTCCATTAGATTGGTTGCTGTCTCCCCCAGGAAAATCTCCCATCATCCACAGACTGTAACCCAAGCAGTAAGTGAAGACGTCATATGCACTGGGAGTTCTCCCATTTCTGATCTTAAAAGCACAGCAAGCATATCTGGAGGACACTGAGTATTAACTTCAGAAATGACAAAGACTCCCATAGCTCAGCCCCATATGCAATTGGTGGGTGAACTGTTGGAAATTTCAAGCCAGACAGAACCAGTTTGCAACAATGTTAAAGCACATTTAAAGCACAAGACTCCCACCTCCCTTCCAAAGAATCCTGAGAATTTTAGTTTACCCTTCACAGAGGTATAATTCCTAGGAGGTGGTGGTGGTGGTGGTGGTTGTTTTGTAGGGAGTCATGTGCTTTTAATGCAAGGTGTGTATAC